AGAACGGAAGAATTTATTACCAAGCAAGAGATAGAGAACATTATGAAATGCAAAACAGTTGCTTTTGATTACATTAAATTGAAAAGTTTTTGCACCAACAAAGCCAATGCTAACAAGATTAGGAGGGAAGCAGAAAACTGGGAAAGAATTTTTACAACCACTGTCTCTGATAAGGGCCTCATTTCTAAAATATGTAGAGAACTGAGTCAAATTTATAAGAATACAAGTCATTCCCCAATTGATAAATGGTCAAAGGATATGAACAGGCAGTTTTCAGAGGAAGAAATTAAAGCTATCTACAGTCATATGAAAAAATGCTCTAAATCACTATTGATTAGAGAAATGCAAATCAAAACAACTCTGAGATACCACATCACACCTATCAGATTGGCCAACATGACAAAACAGGAAAATGATAAATGTTGAAGAAGATGTGAGAAAATTGGAACACTAATGCATTGTTGGTAGAGTTGTAAACAGATCCAACCATTTTGGAGAGCAATTTGGAACTATGCCCAAAGGGCTATAAAAATATGTATACCATTTGACCCAGCAGTAGCACTTCTAGGACTGTATCCCAAAGAGATCATAAAAATGGGGAAAGGACTCACATGTACAAAAAAATTTATAGCAGCTCTTTCTCTGGTGGCAAAGAATTGGAAAGTGAGGGGATGCCCATCAATTGGAGAATGGTTGAACAAGTTGTAGTATATGAATGTAATGGAGTCCTGTTGTGCTATAAGAAATAATGAGAGGCAGATTTCAGAAAAACCAATTGATACACATCTAGTTTATTTTTAGTTTGATGTACTACAAAAAAGGTTTATTATAAATATTTTCGGTGCATTTGACATTTCTGTCTTTGACTTCCTTGAGGTATATGCTGAGCAGTTGGTCTCTGGAGTCAAAGTATATAGACATTTTAGTCACTTTTTTAGCAAAATTCCAAATTGTTTTCCAGAATGGTTAGACTAATTCATAGCTCTTCCAATAGTATATTAATATTCCTAAGAAGAAACCAGAACCTAGCATAGGTCACATAGATGAACTGTCCCAGAGTACACCAGTCTTTTTTTTTTTAACAGTCTCATTCTGGAGATAGGACCCTACTATCTCCTCTTTAAATAATTTTGTGATTCTAATAGTCAGACACAGTTATCAGTGATGACCATTCAGAATTGAGTACTTTCCTATAAAGACTGAAAGTCATGTCTTCTTGTCATTCTTCACCTGGAATTTCCGTCAGAGAAAAAAATTTTTATAGTGTTGCATTTACATGTTAAGATGGATTATTATTTTCTTGTTTCCTGAGTCACATTCAGATGTTTATTGTTGTTCAGTTGTTTTTCAGTCATGTCTGACTCTTCATGACCCCATTTGGCATTTTCTTGGAAAAGTTTCTGGAATGGTTTGCCATTTTCTTCTCCAGCTCACTTTATAAATGAGGAAACTGAGGCAAATGGGGTTAAGTGGCTTGCCCAGGATAACACAGCTAGGAAGTATCTGAGATTGGATTTGAACTCAGGAAGATGAGTCTTCCTTTCTCTAGGCCTGGTACTCTATCCATTTACCCCCACCTAGCTGCCCTAAAAGTGACATATTGCATTGACTGGAAATGTGTGTACATTTTCACAAACAGTCCCCATGACAGTCTGTGAAAATATTTGTGGATTCCCAACTGTCTTCTCCTGCAAGTCTTCAGAGGCATCACATTCCCCAGACATTCCATGGCTGACACTTCAACATGTCTGGCTATATAGCCAGGTCTAGTAGAGAAAGTTCAGTCTGGGATTTCTCTTGGGAGTGGTTTATTTCTGAAGAAACTAGCATGTTCTTTTTTGGGTGTTTCTTGTAGTAAAGCCTTATACCAGTTCTGGAGCATTCGAAGAAATATAAGATGTTATTTCATAGATTTCAAAATTAGAAAGGACTTAAAGAGCATTCAATATAGCTAGATAACACAGCTAGGTGGTACAATGGACAGAGCACTGGGCCTAGAGTCAGGAAGACCTGAGTTAACTTAATTTATCTGCCTCAATCTCCTTAACCATAATATGAGGATAATAGCAGCATCTATCTCCCAGGGTTGTTGTAAGGATCAAATGAGGTAATATTTGTAAAGTGCTTAGCATGGTGCGTGACACATAGTAGCACTATAGACATGCTAGACATTATTATTGTTATTATTATTATTATTATTATTGTGATTATTATTATCCTTGTGGTAGTTATCTGCCCATCCCCAGAACATTTTCTCTCCTTTCTCAGGAAATTCCATATCGAGTTCATAGGTGCTATTATTGTTGTCATGGTTATTGTTATTATATATGCTATTATTATTATTACTGTAACTTCCCTCTCTTTAAAGATTAGAAAACTGAGGTCCAGAGAGTTTAAGTGATTTCCCTCAAAGAAACACAGATACTAATTAAAAGAGCTATGCTTCTAACTACATTCCACTCTCTCTACCCATGGAGGTCTCTTAAAAGAGTGTAAGTTAACGGTTAAAAAGTAGTTGTTAAGGCTTAAACATATGAAAAGTTAAATAAATAACAGTACAAGAAAGTAGAAGGGATGTTACAAAAGGGTATATGACTGCCACATAAGTAGTATGAATAAGAGATATTATGAGTTCAAAAAAAAGGGAAAGGTTGCTGTGGTTTGGAAAGCTACTGGAGGAAGCAAAACGTGCTAGAACCTAAAGGAAGGTAGTATTTGGATACGTGGAGTATGATGGGGAGGGTGTCCCAGCCCCAGTGAATGTCGCAATCAAGGATAAGCAATAGGATTTAATTGGTTTAAGGGGAACTCCGCTATGAGAGAAGAAATTCACTCTTCTGATGCAGGTTGACGCCTTCTCTAAAACTTATAGCAATAGAGTAGCAGTTTTTAAAGTATAATCCAGAATGCACTATGGGTCTCAAAACCCCTTTCAAAGGATCCATGAGGTCAAAGCTATTTTTATAGTAATACTAAATCATTTTAATGTGTAACACGATAAATATCTATAGATATAACTCATATAAACAAAATCTGTTGGGGGGAAAGTACTTTGTGTGTGTAAATTTTTTATTCATTTGAAACAATTACAAAAAAGAGAAAAGAAAAAAAAGAACATTTATATGTACACAGGAGAACATAAGAGAGGATTCTCAATTTTTAAGAATATAAATGGGCCATGAGGCCAGAAGTTTGACAATCTCTATGTTGGAAAATTGCCTGGAGTAGAGGTCAGCAAAATCTTTTGCTAAGGGTCAAATAGTAAATATTTTAGGTTTTGTGGGCCAAGAAGCAAAATCAAGGATAGTATGTAAGTACATATGTAAAAAGAGAGAAAAAAACAATTCTACAATTTTTTTAGTGATGAAATTCAAGATGTAATAATGAGTACTTTTTTTGGTAACACAAGTCTACTGATAATTAGAATGAAATTCTTTCTAGGGGGATAACATTTTGTTTAATTGGGGTTCAAAGTTAATGTTCTCTATTATAAAAATTGATTGTAAATGTTCACTCATTAATGCTGATCTACAAATTCATTTTTGAAAACGTCTTTTCTGGTACCAGTCCACCAGTATATAATTTTAATTTTGCATTCATCACTCAGAGGACATTTATAGAATTCTATTAGATTCTTCTCTTAGTATGTCATTACATTGCGGATTAATCACTTCCAGTTGAAAAATGTAGAAGTTCCTCAATTGCACAAGTTTAATGATTTTAAAATATAGCAATTTCTTTTCTTCATGCATCAAGGTACAAATAATGCTGTTGGAACTGTAGTTTGGGTTCAGAAATATATATATAATAAATATATAAATAAAACAAATATAAACATGATAATAAATATATAATATATAAATAAATATATTATATCTATAATAATAAAATTTGTGGGGAATGAAGATCTCTCTTCTTATTTTAACTTTTCACAGCACAGGAAATGTATAAAGCAGCTTGATATTCTTTGGCATTTAAACATTAGTTGTCAAATTGACCTTACTGCCTAAGTTTTGTATCTATGTACTGTTTTGCCTTATAATTTTTGGCTAAATTCTTTCTGAAACGTCAAATTCAAATTTCTAAAACCATTCAGTGTTTGATAATAATGGTTAAAGGAGGTGCTTCTCATTCAGAAAAAAAAAAATTTAAATCTCTGCCTTGAGCTCAGAAAATCATAATAAAACTTTTTTTTTTCTCTCTTCCTTTCTTGTTTGGAAATGATGGGTATCCAATGGTAATTAAAAAATAAATAAATTTTGCAGTACACCGATACACATGGCACTCAAAATGTGATTGAGTTATAACCGCATCACTACAATTTGTTGTGTGCCAAGCACAGGAGTGCAATATGTGGTCTCTTTCGTAAAATTCAACTCTGCCTTTAAAGCACAAATAGCCACAGCCAATATATAAATGAATTAGTATGACTGTGTTCCAATAAATCTTTATTTAAAAATATAAAAAATATTTAGACATTTAAAAATGTAAAAACCATTGTTAGCTTATGGCCATACAAAAATCAAGCAGGTGCCAGATTTGACTGGCAAGCCATAGTGTGCAGACCCTTGTCCTAGACCATTCAAGAGGTTAAATGACTTTCTCAGAGTCACATAGCCAGTCTGTATCAGAAACAGGACCTGAATTCATGTCATACTGGTTCCAAGGCCACCAGTGCTCTATCCACTAGGCCATATTGCCTTTATGATAATCAAAAGTATATAAAGTGCTCTTAAATAAGATGGCCTATCACTGGAAATGGACAAGAGTTTGGATTTATGGATTGTATGCTATTCTCATTCTAAGGCCTCAGAGGTATTTGCCAGTAAATGATGACTCTTTAATCATCCCCATCGAGCTTCCCACTGAAGTTTTTCTCATTCCATCTGTCACGACCCTGAACAGATTTGTGTCTCCTATAGCTGGAACCTTATTTTGTCTGGCTAGATCACAGTTTGAAGCTTGCTATTACTTAATTACAAAGTGTTTTGTCTCCCTAGGAAGAGTTGACCTATGAAGAAAGGACCTGTGAAGGTGGAAAGTTTGCTACTGTGGAAGTGGCAGACAAGCCCTTTGATGAAGCCTTAAAGGAGGCAATGCCAAAAGTTTTGAAGTATGTTGGAGGCTCTAATGACAAAGGTCAGTGCCGCAATAAGACCCAGATTTTCAGTACTTTCACCTGCCCATGAGAGTCTGGCAAGACACACAGTTATTTTGTTGCAGCAGCCCAATTGCTGTTGAGTAACTACTGAGAAGCCGGTGCTGGTGGCACATAGAGGCAAGAAAAGGAGGTGCTTCATTGGGAAGAGCATTGGAAAGGATGTAGAGCTGACTTCAGTTTGATTCAACAAATTATTGTTTTTGTTTTAATTTATTTTGTAGTTTCTTTACAGACTGTTCAATTCACATTTTTTTTTTAGTTTTCAACATTCACTTTTATAAGATTTTGAGTTCCAAATTTTTTTCTCCCTCCCTCCCGCTTTCTCCTCCCCAAGATGGCAGCAATCTGATATAGGCTATACATGTACAATCATATTAAACATTTCCACATTAGTCATGATTCAACAAGTTATTGTGAAGTAGCTATGATTGCAAAACACGTACTCTGTGCACTAGAGAAGATGTAGCTTAACTAAGACATAGTCCCTCCTCTCATGGGTCTAGTAGGAAGGGAAAACCTGACAGCAAATGACTACAGTAGCAATCAACAGTCATTTATTAAATAACTTCCATGTGTTGGACACTGTGCAAGGCCCTGGGCTACAAAAACCATGGTCCCTCCTCTCATAGAGATAATGGGGATGAGAGAACAAGGTTGGGGTTTGGGAATTATTTGCTCTGTAGCAGGTGGCTAATTAAATAACACAAGGATAGGGAGAGTGATAGTTTGATGGGAGTTTGCTATCAATAGGGGTTGCAGAAGGTGGCAGATTAGAACAATTAGTATAGAATGTAAAGTAGATAATGATAACTCCATTTCTTTTTTTAATTAATTAATTAATTTATTTTTCAACATTCACTTCCACAAGATTTTGAGTTCCAAATTTTCTCCCCATCTCTCCCCTCCCCCATCCCAAGATGGCGTGCATCCTGAATACCCCTTTCCCTTAATCTGCCCTCCTTTCTATCACACCCCCCCTTCTCTTATTCCCTTCCCCTTCTATTTTCCTGTAGGGCAGAATAGATTTGTATACCCCATTGCCTGTATACCTTATTTCCCAGTTGCATGTAAAAACAATTTTTAACATTCATTTTTAAAACTTTGAGTTCCAAATTCTCTCCCTTCTTCCTTCCCTACCCACCCTCATTAAGAAGGCAAACAATTCGATATAGGTTATACATGTGTAGTCATGCAAAATACTTCCATAATAGTCATGTTGTAAAAGACTAGCTGTATTTCCCTCCATCCTATCCTACCCCCTATTTATTCTGTTCTCTTCTTTGACCCTATCCCTCCTCAAAAGTGGATAACTCCATTTCTTAAGGCCATTTTTGGCATTGCTGAGATTGTATCTTTTTACAGAATCATAGTCTCCAGAATCTCAGAGTTGGAAGGGACATTAGAAGTCAATTAATCCAATCCTTATCTGAACAGAATACCTCTAAAACTTACCTGACAAGTGATATCCAGTCTTCCATCAAAAAAATCTTCTAGTGAGGGAAAACCCATTGCCTCACTACCAACCAATTTTGGATAATTCTAATTGTTAGGAAGGTTTTTCTTACATTAAGCCCAGAACTGCCTCTTTGTAATTTCCACCCATTGTAACTAGGGTTCTGCCCAATGGAAAAAAAAATGATTCGCTTTCAAATACTTGAAGACAATATTATGTTCCCTTGAGTCCCCTCTTCTCCAGTCTGAGCAGCCTTGGTTCCTTCAGCTGATTCTCAAATGAATAAATGAATGAGTGAATGAATAAAAAAGCACTTGTGAAGCAATGATTATGTGCCAAGCACTGTATTGAGTATTGGAGATACAAATGGAAGAGCTAAGGCAGTCAGTCCTCTCAAGGAACTTACATTTCAGTAGAGGAAAAAAAATACATATAGGGGAGTGGGGGCCAGGGAGGTCTGGAAAGTTACAGGGAGGATGAGTCGAGCTATAGGGAAGCTGATTCTTCAGGTCCTTCCCTGCAGCAGTGGAAGAGTTGATTTGGTTCTAGAACTAGAAAACAGAGATCAGAGGAGAAACAATGGTGGCAAGTCAGTTGTTGAAAAGATGCCCTGAGGGGCTGGCGAGGTGGATAGAGCACCAACCCTGGAGTCAGGAGGACCTTAATTCAAATACGGCCTCAGACACATAACACTCACTAGCTGTGTGACTCTGGGCAAGTCACTTAACCCCAATTGCCTAATACAAAAAGAAAAAAAGAAAAGATAAGAAAAGATGCCCTGAGAGTGAAGTAAAGGAAACATAGCAGGAGTCACGCCTACAAGGAGTGGGTGACTGAGGCAATCACCAGTCAGAACAATGGAGTCCTAGGGTAGGGGTTCTGGGGTTGAAAGAGCTAAGTCTCCCACAGATCTCATGAGCATGGCTTCTGGTCATCATAGCAAGACTGTTTGACATAATTTCTAGGCCTTTCAACATCCTGTTAACCCCACTTTGGTTACTATCTAGCTTATCAATGTCCTTTGTAAAATGTGGTACCCAGAGCTAAACACAACACTCCAGATGTGATCTGACTGGGATAAATATAACTACCTCCCTAGTCTTGGTCACTAATTATTTTTGGCTACTAGATCACACCGTGGACTCATACTGACTCTTTAGTCTCCTAAATCCCCTAGTGTTTTTTTTTTCCCAAACTGCTGTCAAGCCCCATCTAATACTTGAAAATTTGATTTTTGAACATATTATTTTATCCCTATTGGATTTCACTGAATTCAATTTTCAAGCTGTCTATATCCTGCCTCTGTTATCCAGCATGTTAACTGTCCCTCTTGGCTTTGTGTCATCCACAAAGGTGAGAAATCCAATATCTTTAGCTTTTGTCAAAGTCACTGATAAAAACATTAAAGAATACAAGGGACCACCAAGTTCTTAGCAACAGCTAACAAAATAGTCAGAAATTCCTTTGTGTATTGTGTGAGTTTGTAATACGATTTCTACCTTCCAGGATGGATTTTCCTTTGCAGGAAACCAGAAACTGGGGACATCAAACAAGATGGAAAAAGGGAGCCATTTTAATTTTTAGGTTGCTGCTGGAGGTCTTACTAGCCTACTGTGGTTAATAAATTACTTATAATTTCAGTGATGTTTTCTAAAACCAAAGATTTTGAAGAATACATTTACCAATGGGAACTTATAAAAATATTTTATTCCACATAATGAGATTATCCTGTAATGGAAAGTATGTTGTACCAGAAGTCCCTAGTCCTGATGACTCTCTCTTGTCTGTGGGACCTTGGACAAATTATTTAATGTCTCTGTCTTCATGTAAAATGGAGATAAGAATACTTGTTCTGAGCACTGCATAAGATAATGTATTTGAAAGCATTTTCTAAACTGTCAAGTACTCTGCATATATAAGATATAGTTTGGATTCATAGTAGGATTAAGTGAATATTTATTGGCTAAGATTGCACCATTTGGTGGTTATTGGGAGGTATTTTTGGTTGTACAGATCTGTGGTTTTATCAGTCTAGTAACTGTACTGTACTGGCATGGAAACACCCTACACTGATGCAGTTTAGCTGATTGTCGCTTATGTTCTTAGAGAATTGCTTGTGGTACTAAGATAAGTACTCATGGTTATGCATCTTGGGTGTGTATTAAGTGAGAATTCATCGCCAGCTCACCTTACACCAAGGGCATCCTTCCATCCACTATGGTATTTTGCCTTTCATTATTATGGTGCTGGACACATAGAAGACATTCTACAAATACACCATCCAGTGTTATGTATGGATCTTATACCTGAAATATTCAGCATCAATTCCATTACAAGAAAAGAGACTATGTTGGCATGACTTTAAGATAATTAGTTATCAGTATTCTGTTGTATCATAGACCAGTTTTTAATATTTAGCTGTATCATGGGCCTGGGTGCTATAACTAACATCTGACTTTGTGTCTATTTCTCTGTGTTTTTTCATTTCTAGGAGTTGGGATGGGGATGACTGTCCCTATATCCTTTGCTGTATTCCCCCATGAGGATGGCTGTCTACAGAAGAAAATGAAAGTCTGGTTCCGGATTCCAAACCAGTTTCAAGCTGATACTCCAATTCCCAGTGATAAAAGCATTGAGTTGGAAGAGAGAGAAAGTATCACTGTCTATTCCACGTAAGAGAATGTTTTTCAAAGAAAAGAAGTACAATTTAATTCCTGAAATGATGATGTTTTTAATAATATTTTATTTTTTCCCAATTACATATAAAAACAATTTTTAACATTCATTTTATAAAATTTTGAGTTCCAAATTCTCTCACTTCTCCCCTCCTCTCTCCCTCTCTAAGACAGTAAACAATTAATACAGGTTATATATGTGCAATCATGCAAAACATAGTTCTATATTGGTTATGTTGTGAAAGAAAACATAGACCAAAAAAGAAAAAAATGAAGTGAAAAACAGTATTCTTTAATATGCATTCAGACTCCATCAGTTCTTTTCCTGGAGGTGTATAGCATTTTTTCATCATCAGTCCTTTGGAATTGTCTTGGATCATTGTATTGCTGAGAATAGCTAAGTCATTCACAGTTATCATTGTACAATATTACTGTTACTATGTACAATGTTTTCCTGGTTCTGCTCACTTCACCTTGCATCAGTTCATATAAATCTTTTCAGGTTTTTCTGTGGGCATCTTGCTCATTATTTCTTATAGTATAATAGTATCCATTACAATCATAAACCATAACTTATTCAGCGATTCCCCAATTGATGGACATCCCTTCAATTTCCAATTCTTTGTCTCCACAAAAAGAACTGCTATAAATATTTTTCTACAAATAGGTTCTTTTCCCTTTTTAAAAAAATCTCTATAGGATACAGACTTACCAGTAGTGTTACTGGAGCAAAGGGTATGCAAAGTTTTATAGCCTTTTGGGCATAGTTCCAAATTGCTCTCCAGAATGAAGCAACAGTGCATTAATGTCCCAATTTTCCCACATCCCGTTCAACATTTATCATTTTCCTTTTCTGTCATATTAATAAATCTGATAGGTGTGAAGTACCTCAGAGTAGTTTAAATTTGCATTTTTCTAATGAATAGTGATTTAGAGCATTTTTTTTCATATGACTAGAGAGAGCTTTGATTTCTTCATCTGAAAATTGTCCATATCCTTTGACCATTTATCAACTGGTTTCCATTTATCAACTAGGAAATGACTTGTATTCTTACAAATTTAACTCAGTTCTCCATATATTTGAGGAATGAGGCCTTTATCAGAGAGACTTGCTTTTTTTTCCCCAGCTTTTTCTTTCCTTCTGATCTTGGTTGCATTAGTTTTGGTTGTACAAAACCTTTTTAATTTTATATAATCAAAATTATCCACTTTATATCTCGTAATGCTCTCTTGTTTGATCATAAATTCTTTCCTTCTCCATAGATTTGACAAGTAAATTATTCCATGCTCTCCTAATTTGTTTATGATATCATCCTTTATATCTAAATCATGTACCCATGTTGACCTTGTTCTACAGTGTAAGGTGTTGGTCTATACCTAGTTTCTGCCAGCCTGTTTTCCAGTTTTCCCAGTACTTTTTGCGAAATAGTGAGTTTTTGTCTCAAAAGCTTGAGTCTTTGAGTTTATCAAACACTAGATTACTATTGTCATTTACTACTGTGTATTATGTACCTAATCTTTTCCACTAATCCATCACTCTATTTCTTAGCCAGTAGCAGATTGTTTTGATGATTACTGCTTTATAATACAGTTTGAAATCTGGTATAGCTAGGGCACTTCCTTTGCAATTTTTTTTTCATTAATTCCCTTGATATTGACTTTTTACTCTTCCAGATAAATTTTGTTAATATTTTCTAGGTCTATAAAATAAATTGTTGGTAGTTTGATTGGTATGGCACTGAATAAGCAAATTAATTTAGGTAGAATTGTCATTTTTATTATTTTGGCTTGGCCTATCCATGAGCAATTAATGTTTTTCCAGTTGTTTAGATTTGATTTTATTCATGTGAAAAGTGTTTTGTAATTGTGTTCATATAGTTCCTAGATTTGTCTTGGCAGGTAGACTCCCAAGTATTTTATATTGTCTATAATTATTTTAAATGGAATTTTTCTTTATATCTCTTGCCGTTGGGCTCTGTTGGTAATATATAGAAATTACTTATATAGGTTTATTTTACATCCTGCAACTTTGCTAAAGTTGTTAATTATTTAACTGCTGCTGGCTAGCTGAACTGTGCCTGCACTGAACTGTGTTCTCCTTTTACCTGAGTGAAATAAACCTTTCCTGCCTACCTTCTAAGTTGTCTTGGACTAGAAAATTGTTTCACCCCATCCTTTTTTTTGGTTCTGCCACTACAAAATTCATTTTGAGGTATTATTTTATAATTGTTCGGAGATGAATTTGGAGATTTCAGACAAATTCTTGCCTTAATCTGACATCTTGGCTCCACCTCTCCTCCAATTTTCTATGTTGTCTTATTTTTTTAAAAAATTCAATTAACAAGCATTTGTTTTCTCTCTCTCACCTTTTCCTGAAAGAAACGAACAACAAAAAAAAACCCCTCATGACAAATATGCATAGCCAAGCAAAATAAACTCACATATTGACTATGTCCAAAAAAAAATATGTGTCTCATTCTGCATATTTAGTTGGTCACTTCTCTGGCCCTAGATGGGCAGCATGTTTCCTTATCGGTCCTCTGTAATCATGGTTGGTCATTGGATTGATCAGAATTCTTAAGTTTTTCAAAGTTGTTTCTTTTAATAATGTTGTTATTATTACAAAAATTATAATAATAGTGTTTATTAAAAAAAATAAAACCAGCCCCAGTGAGAACTTGGAACTACCCACAACTACTTTTTATAAAAATTCAAATTAATTATTCTTGTAAATTAACAAGCATTTATTTTCTCTTCTTCCCACTTATCCCTCCCCAACTCAACAACAAAAAATGAAAAAGAAAGCCCTCATGGTAGTCAAAGGAAACAAAATCCCTCATCGGTCATATCCAAAAATGTCTTATGCTATACTTTGAGTCCATCACTTCTGTGTGGAAGTGGGCAGCTTGTTTCATCCCCAGTTCTCTGGAATCTTGATTGGTCATTGCACTGATCACAGTTCCAAAGTCTTTCGAAATTGATTCCTTCTGTTATGTTGTTGTCATTATATAAATGTTTCTCCTATTTCTACTCACTTTACTCTGCACTAATTCTTTGGTCTTTTTGTCTTTACAATTCATTTGGTCTTCCTGGCTTCCTCTGAATCTGACCATTTTGTCACTTCTTGTGGTACAATAATATTCCAGTATATTCATATACCACGATTTGCTTAACCATACTCCAATAGGTGGGCAATCCTTTAGTTTCCAGTTTTTTTTACCACTATGAAAAGAACCATTGTAAATATTTTTTTGTAAATATGGGTCTTTTCCCTCATTCTTTGATATCTTTGAGATATATGCCTAGTATAGGTGGTATTGCTGGGTCAAAGGCTGTCCATGATTGAGTAACTTTTTAAGCAAAATTACAAATCTTCTTTACTACTATGTGCTAAGCACTAAGGATACAAATAAGAAAAAGAAAGATAGTCCCTGCCCACAAGGCACCTACAATCTAAAGAGGGAAAACAATGCACAAAAGGAAGTTGCAAAGAGAGGACAAGGGGGAGGGGAGGTCTCTAGATGGTACTCTGTGCTGGGACATGATGTTTATGGAGTCAAAACTAAGTTAAGCAGTTGATGAAAAATGAAGAGAATAACTGAGAAGTTCTTAGTCCTCTACAAAATAAGGTTTAGATAGAAGGGATTTAAATACTTACTAGCCTTTCATCTTTTTTCAGAGTTTATCACAGAAATATTCATGTTCCATGAGAATAAGTGTGCTCTGAAATACATGTCAGTATATCTAGAGACATCTAGAGATGGATTTTGAAATGCATGTCAATATATCTAGAAATTTGCCCTTTAACTTTGGCAGAAGGACTGGGTTCTAGCAAAAATTTGTAAAAGTTAATCATCTGTCTCTTCTGATTTAAGGTTTGGTCACATAGAGAATATGTTGGAGCATGAAGCTCTAGGCTGTATACTGCTTCATTTCTCTTTGAACACATGAGGATTGGAGAAAAGAGAGGGCAGAGAATTTTCATGTAGTGGCTGACACTATGCTTTGCCACTCTTTCCTGTACCATATCTTTCCTCATAAAAGCCAGCCCATCAGAGCTTTTCTCCAGGGCAAAGAAATTTAGAGAATACAAAATTTTTTAAATAATATTTTTAAAGATTATGAAATATTTTAGCTATATTTTGATAGCATTTCTAGTCCTTTAAGCAGTACAAAAACAATGTAGCACACTAGCTAGCAAGAATACTTAAACTACAAAGCTCCCAGATGGTGCTTCTTCTCCTCCTCTCCTGGAACCCGCACCTGAAGTTAGCTGCTTCTCCCCACATCAGTTTGGCCCTCCTGCATCCCCTACCTGAGCCAACAAAGGCACCGAAAGGCTTCTTCGTGTGGGTATATGCATATCGGAGCTTATATTCTTCATTTTTTCCTCATTGGCCAATGTCCTAAATTCTCCTTTCTCTCCCAAATGAATTTGTTTTCATTACTTCTCATATTCTTTTTTCATCATGAAAACCAAAATTTATTAAGCATCTATGGTATGCTAGCCACTGCCTTAGGCATTGGGGATACAGAAAGAAAAATAGAACTGTCCTTCACCTCAAGCATACATTCAATTGGGGGAAATAAGCATAAACAAGATACACATAAAGTAAATCTAAGATATTTTTGTGGGCTGCAATGGGGAGGTACCATGATCTGGGAGAATAAGGAAAAGTTTTTACAGAAAGTGGCACTTAAGCCAAACTTTGAAGGAGATAGGAATTTTTTTTTAATCTGTTTTCTTTTTTATTCTGATTTTAACAAGGGAAACAAGAAAGATTATATCTGGACCCAGGTTTGCTTTTCTGAAGTATATATTAAATGTAACAAGGCAGTAAAATTTCCATTTGTTCTTATCCTTCTGAACTTTTGTTTTCTTCTGTGTGTTTGTGTTTGATGCTTTTTTCTTTCTTTTTTTGATCCCTATCACTACCCCTTTAACTCACCCTATAGCCTCCACAAACAACTAAGTAAAGTCAAGTAAATAAAAACAA